AGCGGAAGGTCTCGAAACAACGGGCTTGCTTTCCTGAGAGCATCAGGCAAAGGAGTTCTCGCTCTTGTGGAGTCAAATATAGCTCCACGGGAAATTTTAAATTCTGCTTCCCTGACCACACACACGCTGAAAGAGACAGGACCAAACTCCTAAGATAGCAAGAGAAAGGTGAATTTAATTTGCAGGTTTCCTTATGTGATGGTGTGGTATGGGCAAGAGCAATGGCTAATCAGAAATAAGGTAATGTCATCATAACGAGGATATTTTGACTTGAGAGCATACTGTGTCATTGCAATCAGCTTCTGAAATTCTTCTTTCGTGCTAATGCAGAAGCACATCTAAATGGGTCATCATAACGAGGATATTTTGACTTGAGAGCATACTGTGTCATTGCAATCAGCTTCTGAAATTCTTTCGTGCTAATGCAGAAGCACGTCTAAATGGATCAGGTGTCTTGTTCAGCAGCTTGTCCTTGAACTTATGGTCATTACCATAAAATTTGCCTTTCTTCTATTTCTAAATGACTCTTTGCACTTTGACACTACAAAGGAAGGATTTATTACAGTTTTAAACCAGCCCATGTACCTTTCTTTTTTTCCGGTCTCTGCATGTAGGTGGAATGTTCTTAAGCAGCCCCAAGCAGGTTTTTTTCCAGTTTAAACTCTCTTTGCCCTCCCTCCAGCAGGTGTGGCTGGTTTTGGGTCTGTGAAATTAACATTTCTGAGCACTACGTAAATATATTGCTGAATGAATCTTTGCTCTGTTTGTATTCTGAAGCATATTCAGTCCCATCACTTGACAGACAGCACATTTTGAGTGACCAGCTCTTTAAACATCTACTAATTTCTACTGTGTTTTTTATTGAATTGTACCATGAACCAATTCATTCTTATTTACTCTTCCTGTTAGACGAGGGTTGACTCACGATCATTTGCTTTAATGTTGAGCTCTCCTGTTTCAAAACCATGGTCATGTAAACCAAGATCCACTTCCTTTCTTTGACTCTAATACTGAGCTTTGTAGGTAGCTAATAACAGCATTTCAGTAGCCCACTCTTTCGTGTTTTTCAGTGACATCCATTATGTTAAATGTGCATTCGTAAATAAGTACTTCTAATTTCTTGTGGTTATAATCCAGGCTCCTGATGTACAAGACAAAGAAGTTATTCTGTCCTTACTGTGTGGCATCTTGTTTAGGTTTGCATTTTATTTTCCTCATTCGCCTTTTTTTGAATTTTAAAGCTTTTGAGCCACTTGCAAAATTATGGCACTTCACAGAGTTGCTTGGTTGCCACTCCTCGTAAGTGAAAAATCAGTCCTGCAGAAAAAATTGGGAAGATTTACAAAACCTGATAGCTTATCAGCTAGAGAACAAGGACTTGACTAATCTAGTACTACAGATTCAAAGATTGTGTAATAATACTTCTAAAGTTCCTGTTACACAATGAAGGTAAATTTCAAGAAAAGATATTTAGGAAGTGTCTTCAGTTTCAAGTCACACATGTGCCAAAGGCACTTTGTCCTGTTACAGCGCCGTGACTTGGCCCAGCGTCAGGTCGTGCATCTCTCAGGTTGTTTCACACTTCAATACCCTCATCCTACCTGACGTGTGAAGGCATTTCTTCACCTCTGTAGCCAGGGAGCACACAACAGCCCTTACGGCTCTTCAGGCTCATGCAAAGCCCAGGCACGTTCAGAATTTCAGTGGCTGATACTCTTTCCTCTATCAACACCACCTTCTGTTTTCCTTTGCTGACACAGAAATGGAATCTGATACCCATTCTCTTCTCCTCTTTCTATTCAAAGAACTGTGATTCTTCATAAAAAGCAGGAATCCTGTATTTTTTTGATTCCTGAAGAAAGCAAGTACTGCTCCCAAGTACCGTATTGCCCCAGCTTTTGCCACTGAACGACCTTTCCGCAGCTCTGCAAGTGGGCTGTTCTCCGGGGTCTCTTGTCCCTGCAGCCTGCCAGCCTCCTGTTACCCATTGCAGCCCACCCTGCACCTCCGCGGGCCACGTCTTCCAAAGGCTTCTGGTCTTATCCATACCCCAGTCCCTTCCACCACAGAGATGCCAGCTGACAAACTGCATGTCAAACAGGTTCCTCCTAATATTTTGTTATGTGATGACAAGACAATTAGCCTGAATGCCAAGACCATCTCTGAAAAAGTAAAACTGTTTATTCTTTGACTGCATAACTGAGCATCTGTGAATAATGTAAAAAAAAATGTGTTTGCTCTTAGAACAACAAAGTGTTTGGGTAAAGAATTGCTTATAACTGCAGTGAGAAGCAGTCTCACCTGGAGTAACTAGAAATTTTTCCTTCCATAAATGCTTATTGTGTTGTGTTACAGAGAACACAAATAAGAGTCTCATTGCTCTCCTGGCAAACCAACTTACAAGAGGTAAGGCAGGGCAAATTTCATTCACATTACTATTTTTATGCTTTAAGACCACACAACTACAGTATTTGCTAAGGATCAAATGTTTGTTTATTTAAACACTTCAGCATCTATGACTTGCTTTAGATATTTGACAATAACTTACACATATTATTTGTAAGGAGTGAAAAATCAACAAACACATTAACGTTTCTGAGATTCTGGTGTCCATAGAACATTTCAATAACATTATTCACATTTATAACCTTGCATCTGACTACTGCTTTCCTTCTGTCCAGAAAGAAAGAAAACGAAGGCTTGTGCGTCATACCCAGAAAGTTAACAGATTCATGTAAAAAACAGATTTTGGCAAAAAACAGACAAAGAAAGAAGTTTCTCAGCTCAGAATTGTCTATGGAAATGGTCTTAGTCCGTAGCCCTTATTGTAGTGTTTGCTATCTGTCTCAAATCACTTAGGAACTTCGGTCCTGCGAGGAAAAACTTCCCAGGGTGGTACAGTGCTGTCTCGGTGTGACACATAGCTCAGCACCAAGCATGACTTTGAACTCTGTGGAGGCAAGGACTGTCACGTTTAGTTTGGTACCGACTTGTAGGGTTTGTACTCGCTTTGTGCCCTGATACAGTCTGGGACCATGGCTCTGTCATTAAACCAGTGCTTTGTAAGAGATGGGGTGAAAACACAGTATTTCCATACAGCCACAGAGCAGGACTGAAATGGTGCTATACTGTAACAGAGGCATGTGCTGTGTGTGTGGAGAGTACATGGGGATGTTCTGAGCTGGGCAAACTAAACTACTCCTAGGTCTTCTGCTCTCTCGTCTTTTGTGATCCTGATACTTCAGTGATTTTACTGCTCAAAAGCTGTGGCTTCCAAAAAGCAAAACATGCATCTTTAATATCTTCATGTTTACCTTAATTTAATGCATTTTTATTGTTCATACTTTGTACCGAAAGAAAACCCTGCTGAAAGGGAAGTGCCACAGCAGATGGCATTGAAATGCAAATAGAAGGTTTCACAGGAGCCCTGTCAACAAAGACTGTGTTGGAGATACATGAAATGACAATCCTGCAAATCACTTTACAATGTGGGAAGGGAATGAAGAAAGGTTTAGGTAACAATGATTGCCTATTCCATTGCTCTTTTTCTGGGAAGACATCAATAAAAGGCAATAATGCTAGAAGCTACAGGGGCTTATACAACATTAAATTACCTTGATTGGGGTTAATTGAATAGGAATGATGAAACTCAAATTAGAAACAATGTATATTATATTCAAATATAATTACAGAAAGGAAGTATGACTTGCCAACAAGGATAACAAACGGTACTACATATCAACAAACCATATTAGAGCTGGAGCAGCTGGTTTTTATGGTCTTTTTTTTAATGACAGTTATTGTCTCTTCCATTTCAGGAGACTAAGAGTTAGGACTATTTGCACATTCCGGTGCACCACACCGAAAAACTTAACGTTCCAGAGAATGATCCTAGTTCTTAACCGCCCTTTCCTTTCACAGCACCCATGGGTGGGTGCACTTGTCCAGTGCACGTGCCTGCGCCAGGTGTTGTGCAACAGGCACCTACCTGAGGTGAAGACCCGGCAACCGGTGCTGGAGGCTCTCTGCGTCCTCCGAAGGAGACCTGCAGGTTACCTTGCCAGCAGGAACCGGCGAGGCCTGAAGGGTTGGGCAGGGGCTCAAGGGATTTTGTAAACATCAATAGTTTTTAATTTCTCCTTGTGGAGAACTTAAATAAGTTCCGCTGTGGAAAGAATTAGTACGATTCATGGAGTCACACCTTTGACACTTCTAGGCAAGCAATGGATGCTATAGAAAGGTAAAGTGTTTTCCCTGAATATACACTAGATGGAACATGACTTAGTCCCTTACTATGCTCCACGGCAGGTGTTCTGCTGGAAAGCAAAAGTACTTCAGTTACAATGGTATAATTAGTTCATTGAAAATACCTCTTCTGCAAAAGGGTAATGAATGTGGGATATCATCACATGAGAATTTCTCACAGAATTTAAATGACCGAAAACTTTGGTTTTCTCATTTTGGTAAACTATGTATGCTAGGAATTATGCATTAGAATAGTTTAACACTAATACTACATGCATGTAGTATTAGTCTACCAGTTTGAATTATGTATTTTTTACTTTGGCTAAGAACTTAGTTATATTTTTAGAAGTACACTATGGCTTCTACTTCCCAACTCAGGTTTTGAATCTTGCAAATATCTGTTCTGTCTTTTGTTATATTTATTTATTTATTGATTAGGATTGTGACTAGACCTAATGCTTTTTATTATGATTTTGCAGTTAATCTAGTATTTAGCACTTATCTACTAATAAATGTTTGTTCATACTGTGCTTTACAGTTTCAAAGTGTTACATCATAACTCACGATTAATAAACAGAATTTAAAAAAAAAAAATCCTGTAAAACAGAGTGGTTTAAAAAACAAGCACAAATTAACAGACATCAAACTGATGCTTAGTTCAGTGGTTAGTGCTTTAGTATAACTGAACACATGGGGATGATAAAATCGCTCCAGATAGAAAGTGTCGAGGCACAACTCTCAATGTCAAGGCAAATCTATTTACTCTTGGCTGTTGTAGGTTCCATGTCTATGTCCAGGTCCGACAGAGCACAGTAGAAGAGCATCTGAACGTATTTTGTTGTTGTAGCTGTAATAGTAAAAATGTGTGAGACAAAGTTACAATACATCTTAGAAAAATACACGGATTTTGAGGATTTGAAAGCACCACACAGATATTAGGAAAATCTTAAAACACCTTAATCAATTGGATTAAGCACATGCTATAAATAGCTAAAGGCAAAAGGAGCTCAATAATTAAACAGAAAGTCTTGCTTAATCAGACTGTCATCAACATTTTCATTGAATTGTCAGATTGATAGCTGAGTTCCAACTGAACAAATAAAGTTTTGCTTTTCAAGACTGCCTGAATTTGAGGAGTGGAAACTACCCTTCAGGCCAATAATTCATTATTTCATAATTTATGAAAATACATGGACAGCTCTGTCTCAGATGTTCCATTCCTTGGACAAAGTGAAACAATGGTGTCCTGGTATTTCTGCCTTCAGGCTATCAAACTGCATGCATTTAGTCTTCACAATCCTACATGGCTTTTATTGAAATGGCTCAACAGCACAAATATTAGATGACCATAATGTATCCACATATTGGACTGCTTTGTACAGGTATGCATGGTTTTCTTTTCAGGACCACCTGATGAAGCAAATGATCTCAGACATGCCGTATAAGAAACCATAGCAAAACTTCATAAAGAAAAAGGATTCTAGGAAAAATTATTCTTTCTTTCTTCTGACCAAGCATTCAAAGTTTTGGCACACTGAGTAGGACAAGATGATGTTGCTTACCAGAGAGCCACTGTAGATATTTAGGTCGTTTTTCAACTGGCAGATAGACTCCCAAATAATTCCCGAGAGGGCAATACCAACACCAATAAGGGAATTGATAGTGTCGCTGTAGAGAGGAACTATGACCAGGAAAAGGGAACATAAACAGTATACTATAGGGAAGAAGAGGTTAAGCTGTGGAGACAAAAGAAAAATCCAACATTCATTAAAAGATGCAGTAAATACTCTATTGTAAAAATGTCAAGCTTTACAAAGTTAGACACATCAATGATAAAAATACAGCTATTGACTATATGACTGCTATGTACTGAATCATTTGATTGCCTACAGTCAGTACAATTTGCTAGCTTCTGTGTATGCTGCTGAGAGCCTCTTCACTTGGTACACACCTGAGTATCTGACCATTTTGTTGTTTTCAGGCCTGCACAAGCTCAATTCCTTTCCAATTACTGAGAGATCAATCTTTGAAAGCAGTACTTTAAAACTGAGCAGTAATGGGTAGTTTTCCCTCTAACTTCAATTGCAAATTTTTAATTGTAATGTTGATTGGGAATTAACTCAGCTAGACTTTCAATTACCATGTTGATGCTACAGAACTAATGGACTGATTTAGAACCATTTTGCCTGGGCAGTTGACAAATATCATATCACAAATAAGGAAAGTTGCAATAACCTCTTTATGGATTTATTTTTCATTAGAATATCTTTCACTGGCTGTAGTAAATAGCTTTCTCAAAAGTCCAGGACTTGACTTTTGAATACTAGCTGAAACTCCTGAGAGTTTACTGGTATAATTACTTCTTCTTCCTTATAAAGGTTAAAAATATAAGTTGATGAAAACCAACTGCTACGTTTCAGAAAAGGAAAAAGTGTATGCGGAGTCGTGACATCAACTAAGCTGGCAAATACTGATGGGAATTAAACAGTCATCTGTTTAAGCTGACTAATCCTTGCTTTAGTAGAGTCAGTAGCAAAACTGCCAATGTGGTAAGATTTTGTCTTTATCTTCCACATATTTTGGGGCAGAGTTTGGAAATGAATTGTGAACATGCTTCAGAAAAAACTTGGTCTGCTCTGGAAGACTGGAAAGTTTTCTAGCAGTAGGTGCTTAGGATATTTTATGACTTTGTTTGAACCATGTGGTTTTTCTAATCAGGATGTTACACTTAAATGGAAAAAAATGTATTGGTAAAAATGGTGCAGGAAGTTAGGAAGAAAGAGTGACAAGGAAGAAATGTTTGGATTGGGTGTTAATTTGGATTTCTCATAATTTTTACTGCATCAATGCAGAGTCGAAATGCAGGTCATGGAGCCAACAGAGTGCCCAGTGCTTGGTTTTGTGTGCCTGAGGAAAGCTGTCTGTTTCCGCCCCTGCTTCCTGGACAACCACTGGATTAAAATTAGAAACAAGTTTTAGGTGCTTTTTGTTTCTGTGTAGTCTCCCTCTGCTAACTGATAGCCAGATGCTCTTCTATAATCAGTCATTAAACTTGCATTTTACTGTCTGTAACCACTATGCAGTGCAAGGGAACAATCAAAATATATTTGATTGTTCAAACTTTTTAACTTCTGCATGAGCAGAATTTTGGGCATTTACGGGCTTTGGAGGGATTTTTCTGAATTTGTTAAGTCATGTATGTTTGATCAGAGCGTTAACTTCTCTGGAGCCCCCATCACTAGTTCTACTGAGGTCCGCCGTGAACAATACAAGACGGGGTTGTTCCAGGATGGGCTAAGAACCCCAAGCATTTATAGTTATAAGGTTGAATGAAAGGAAAAAGAAATGGTAAATATAATTTCAACCTCACAGCAAAAGTACTAGAACAGATGTTCTCGTGGAAACTCAAATGGGTTTTGCTCCTTCATTTCTTATCTTGTATGTTGAAAGGATTTCTATGGCTGATAAATAGCCTGTAACATAACTGGTAATGTTATGGTTGTGATATTAAGGATCATATAAACATGTGCATTAGCTGGCTTTTAGGGCTTGCTTCCTCTCCTGTTTACTTACTTTAATAGGCCGTGGTCTACGCGGCTGAGTATACCTCAAATATATTAGTCCTGCAATAGACAGACCCACAAAGAGCCAGTAGTTGAAGCAGTAGTAATTAATGAGGAGGAAAACATCTTCCACAAGAAGATACAGCAAAGTCATTAAGCCCTAGAGATAATAAAAACAAAGACCTTTTAATGTGAAAATAAAGAGGTAGTAAAGTTATAAACCTGCCTGTTTCCAACATATTTGTCTGGACTTTGGAGACCGAGTCCTTGCAAGAAGGATGTACTCAAAACTGTGAGAAATCTGCAAATACGCTGTGTGAAACATGCGGGTATCTCTTCCTTAAACGTAGCAGTGAGACCACCACATTTGACTGAAGAGGTGAAGAACTTTGTGAAGTTGTGTTTCAGCACCAGCAGGAAACCCTCCTAAGAAGGCCAGATGAGGAGCCCCAGACTCTGCTGGGCTACAGAGAAGGCTGCTAAGAAGCTTTCTGTAGGCAGCGGCTTACTCTGCTATTCTGGTTGGCTTCAGTTTGAAAGCAAATTTTTAATTTAGTTTCACTGTTGGAGGCTCTCACAGTCCACTCACACATTGAGACCATTAGAGTAAATTCTATGGTGTGCAGGCATGCTATACTGCCTGCATGGGAAGACCTAAACCACCAGGAATTTAGTATCTATTTTAACAGATGAGCAGAAAAAAATTCCACTGTGAAAAACAGGAATGGTGGTGTATTAAGGGAGTATAGCTCATCTTACTGGTGCAAACAGAAGCCCTCTGAGAAGAGCATTCATGATGACATGATAACTTTTAGTAAATTATTTGATGTCAAACAGGACTGTTACTATAATCTGTTCATAAAGCATATGTAACACAGGGCAATGGAAGACACCAAATAAAATATGGATTCAAATAAACAACAGTGAAATGCTTTTGAATGATTCTACCCTCTCTGTCTGTGCATATCCTCCCCCTTATTTTAATCTGTTAGATTGATGGATTATTTATTAAAATCACTTGCAGTAATTCTATACCTTCTGGTTCCTTGATTTTGTGTCACAAGATTCATTCGTACAGTGACAGCAGGAAAAAAGTCAATATGGCTATAGGCATCCAACAGTGGGAATTTAAAGTGCTTTGTCACTCCTGTTATAAATAGAGTCCTAGAAAATCACCCTACGGCAGGGTCTGAGAGATGTTCCTGCCATCTTCTTCTCCAGTGACACTCTGAAAACTCATATAAAGTCTTAAACTCCTGTCTATACTGCTACATATGTAGCCCTTCTCTGCTTTCTAAGTAATGCTATTGTACTTACTCCTCACTAATGCTCAGAGAGCGTATGAATGTGAAACAAGCCATTGTTTCCACCTAAAAAAACCTCACCAGATGAAATACCACACCTCCAACCCCCGCCCCTCTCAATGAGTTTTAGAAATGGTGGGCATTTGAGGAAGATGTCTCCAGGGCAGGAGAAGCCCGGGAGAAACAGCGGGCAGAGGCGAGGTGATCTATGGCTCGGGTCCGAACGCCGACTGCCCCGGCCGGGCACGGGTCCGGGCTGTCACTTACATTGAAGATGAGAGCAGGGACTGGTGTGAAGCACTTTATATGAATCAAGCTCAGACTGTCAGGGAGGTGTCCTTCCCGGGCTCCAACATAAAAAAGCCTAAACAAAAGAATAAGACAACTCAACCAGACAGTGAGGCAAGGAATAGCTTGTTGCTTTCTGACAAAGGCAGCATTAAATTTTTTATTACTCTGTTGTAAATGCTGCTCTCTTCTCAAGCGGCTTTCGTTTATGAATTGGTGCTGATCATGAGAAGACATGTCAGATCATAACAGTCCTTCCATCATAAATGAACAACTTGACATGGCAAAAATAGTTAACTGTCACTTTTACAATGCAGTAGTAAATAATGCAGATTAATAATAAATGATTCCTTTTCAATTATTTAAAATAAATCTTGTGTTTCATACCTAGATGCTGCAATTATTGATGAGTTTAAGCCACTATAGCAAGACATGGCCACTGCTATAGGAATTATCCACTTAGCATAACTAAGGGTTTCACCGCCAAATGTCTGTAATAGGAAAAAGAAAATAATAATGAGGCCCGTTACGTTAAGCATATGGACAATCCTGAGAAACTCTCATGAAAACACATCTGCCCAAATGTAGTGTCATAGCCCTTGCTTTCTTATGACACCCGAGCATGACTTGGGAAATTAGAACTTGCTGTAATCCTGCAGCATTAAACATCACACACTTTACATTAGAATGACAGCAAAAAAACCCTGATTCTTAAACCACTCATACTTTCCATAGCTCTTTCTCTGTCTGGCCCTGGCAAAAGCATCTTCCACAATGAAGTTAGGAGCAAGATTTACAGAATATATAAGAGGATTTTACAAGAACAGATTTATTGGATATATTCTTTATGTGCACCTTCTAATATACTAGTACTCTTACATGAAAACAAAGCAAAGCAAGAACCTTCAGCATGGAAATATTTCAATTGTTTTGCTGAGAAGTATGCTACCTGAGATTTTTCTGCAGTGTCATCCATACATCCATACTTTTGTTTTAATTATTTTGTACAACTTACCACAGCCACTGCATCACTTGTGAGGAGAGCTGACATGTCTAACACTACGTAGTATGCTATATTAGTCAACAAGTAAATAACAGTCACAATAGGCATTGAAATTGCAATAGAAATAGGTAGATTCCTGCAAAAGGAAAATGGCAAAATTATTTCCTGTTCTTTAAATAAGGAATATTTAAATAGAAGATTGTTCCCACGTTCAAACCTTTGTGAATGGATACCTCCATCACTTTTTGTAATCCATTATTCTGTAATTGTGGGGTTATAAAATAATGTGCAGCCATGTGTGGAACAATTCCGTAAGCAGCTTAGTTGGCTGCTTGTGGGTCTGTCACAAGTTTTAGAGAAAAAAATGTACATTTATACCTGTAAATTTTATATACTGTCATTTATATGAAACAATTTAAGGGGGCACTCAAGCAATGAGATTTAAATGCACCCTTAGGTGTTTTCTTGATCGTAGCATTTTTTTTCCTGACTCATAACCTATGCACGTCCCAAGACAAGGTGGACTATATCAGTCCAAATAGGTGAAGCACACAGGGCTGACATCCCTACAGAGGGGAGGAGATCATGTTTCCAGTGCTACTATGTACTTTTTAATTTTTTACTTAACCTTTCATCTTTAGCAAAATTAAACATTTTGCCCATAAACAGTAATGCTGAAGATCACATGATAAAACAGTCATAAACCTGAGACAGCCTTACTCTACTGGTGGCAAAACCAGCTCTGGAAAAATAAAATCATTGTTCTGGTCTGAAGTGTAAGGTGTAAAATACATATATGCAGACAAGTGATTTATTAATGTGACACAATTGGTGAGTGAGGACAATAATCAGAGAGAGTTCTCATAGTTGCTCCGTCTTTTGAAAAGAGGAAGGTTTTTGCAGAGCAAATAGTTTGACTAATTTCCAATCAGAAAGAAATACAGAATAGCTTGTCCTGCCACCTGTCTTACCAGGACACTTCAGCGATTCAAAGGAAAAGCACGTGTTTACCTCTCAGGATTCTGCATTTCCTCGGTGACATAGTTGAGCGTGTCCCACCCCGAGTAGGAGAAGAGGGCAGAGTAGAGAGCCAGCGCGATCATCCCTGGGTCTGTTGCTGAGCCCTCGAACGGAGCTCTCAGGTTTTCTGTTTCTCCTGTACAAACGGCAGGTACAATTGCCTGTTATGTTTCAAGGATTATGACGCAGAAGGACACTACACTAAAAGCCTCAGCTAACCAAAAGGAAATAAAACCCCACTGCATCTAGGTTTCATTACTATTTCTAGAAGTGCACAGCTTATATTTTCACTTGACAAGTAGGAAAGTTTCAGTCAGACGTTCAGACAGCTAGACTTGTACAGGGAGACAGCAGAAGATGTTTTCCCATGTTTACTGTTTGGATGTGATTTGTACAATTCTATCAGAATTCATAGCGTCTTCGTCTTCTAGCATCGCTGCCTAGCCTACAGAAGGATGGAGCCATGCTGAAGTCATGCTATGCCCTGTCAGCCCGGCATGTGGGAAAACCAATTTCAGTTCCTGAATCTGTCTCATTTTTCTTCCTCATATCTGTGCTTTTGTTTTCATCAGATGAATTAGTGGGCACTGGAGGGGGAACTCCTGGAGGTATGTTCTCAGTGGGATGCTCTGTGCCAAAGGTGTTCCCCAAAATTAAGAAAGGAGACTTGAACAATCTTCCCTTTCAAAATTCTCCTCTAGTTTAGCTCAATCAGTTGAGATGACAACCTGCAGAATGCTGCAAAATAGGTGAAATATTAATGAAACCGCGTGAGCCTTCACTGTGATTCTGGAAAGGGGAAGAAAGGCCTTACTGAGTTTGCAGAAGGGAAGTCAACCACCTAATATAAATGAAAGTGGGTTAAGTATTGAGGAAGACAGAAACATGCTGAATCCTCTATCAGGGAAGAAAGTAAGGTCTTTCTTCTAAAATGAAAAAACTTCACCCTGTGGTTAAACTAAGGAGTTTATAGATACCACAAAAGCAATTCAGTCTTTGAAGAGCAGTAACAACCAGGACACTGTTTGAACAGAGCTACGAGATGTACACACACTTTGTGGAAGAAAATTGTTGGAAGGAAAAAAAAAGGATAAATCCAAAAGGGCCAAGAAAAGCTTTTTTTTTTACTAAAGACAGCTCATATTCAAAATCAGATACATTCACAGTGTTTTAAAACAAGAGGCGTATCTGAGCGCATCAGAAGGAATACGGCAGGGCTAAAACGTGATAATTGTTCTTTTTATTAAAACAGCTGCTGAGTTTAAAAGAATACATTGACCCGATCACAGCTTCCTCCAGAAGTCTGCATCATTCCTCTTCCCAGTCCTTTCTGTATTTAAGTGCTTGTTTCTGCTTAACAAAGCAGAGACGAGACTTTTACTACCACTGAAAGCCCTCAGCATTTTGTGTTCCTCACAATAAGGTTTCCTCTCTGCCTTTACCCTCCCCGACCCCACGGAGCAGCACCAAGGAGCCGGCATGGGCAGTACGGATGCAGGAGCAGAGGTAACAGCCCCTGGGCCAAACTGCATCGTGGCAGCTGCGTGCCAGCGAGCGGGCTGGGAGTTTTGAAGGAGGCGATTTCAAAGCGGGGGTAAATTTGTGACTGTGGGGACACGGCAAAGCTGCTATTGGGGTGACATCATGGACTCACACCTTTGTGAAACTGAGGGGAACTACTCCTTCATGTAACTGTGGCCCTTAAGCAATGCCTTTCCTCTGCATCTTCACGTTCCTGCCCTTAGGACTCAGTTTCTTTGTTCAGGTTTCTGTAGACTTGAACAAACCAGTGACAACTGACGTGCACGGATAATGGCTAAACCAAAAAGCTCTCTTAAAGTCTGGTGTAGCTTTACAGCATAACAGCTGATGCAACTGCAGCCAAGGAAAGAAGGCCAGCAAACATGGAAAAGCAAGCATGCTCGTTAGGTTTTATAAGCTATTTTTTAAAACACAGTTCCTAAACTGAAGAGGTGAAACCATCTTTATTTCAACTGAATAAAGATACAATGGCTATTTAGCAATTTCATGGGAAAGGAAAATGAAGAAACCTTAGTAACTAAGCAACAGAGCTAGAGCTGGAAGAGACTTCACTGTACCAGAAGCCCAAATTAATTAACCCAAATCTATTGTCATCTACAAAGATTGGAGGTAGCACTGGAATAAACTAGTCTCCAGCTTTTCAGTGTATTCAGTTCAGTCCAGTTACTGTGATAGGAGGTGGCTCATCTGTCCTGTGATGTCTTACAGCACCACAGTGACTCACAGGACTGCACTATTACAGTCTTCTCCCTTGTTTCTAGGACCAAGCACGCCCTCTCCCCAGTGAATGAAGGGACGAGTTCCTCCCTCCCTGGCCCTCTGCCCTCGCAGGGCGCTGCGGTGGCTCTGCCACGGGCCGGGCAGGGAGAGCAGGGGGTGCGGAGCAATGCCAAGGATGCACCCGGCAACGTCTGCTGTGCTGTCCTGTCGCAGGACAAGCAGCAACGCTAGCCTTTAACAAGCATGGGTCAGAGAGGCTGAGGCTGACTTTGAACTAGTTAGCACTAAACTGATGTTAATTCAGCTGCTATTCAGCCCGACCAACAGAGAACTTGGCGTGTGTTCGTTTGCCGCACTAAAGATAGAAGAATAATTAAACCCCCATTGCTTAATAAGCCATAAATTTCCTCTGATCTTCCAATGGCAGACATTTTTTTCCAGAATAAACCACACTTCCTATGTAAGTCTTAAGGAGTCTCCTCTACCTGCACAGATTTTGAAACTCACACACTGTTCATTTTTAAGAATTTAAGTAAATGAAAATTATTCTTACCTTTACCAATTTTGTAAAGGCCAACAGATATCACCAAGATAAGAGCCATAACTTTTGCATATGTGAAAATATCTTGTACACGGGTTCCCCACTTCACATTAACACAATTAATAAATGTTAAGGAACCTGCAGGGAAAAAGAACATGCATGAGAGGAGCACTGTATGTTTTACTTCACTTAAAGCATATTTCAAATCCATCCTTCCAGATACCACCCCTCTTTCAAGGAATAAAACAGACTCAAATTTCACCATTCCAGGACCACCTAGATTTATTAAAAAGAATGAAATACTTGGTTTAAAATTTACACAATGGTTTTCTGAAGGATATTGTTTTCATGACAGTAGGTAAGACAAAACACATCACCTTTTGAATTTTAGGACTAATTCATGCTCCTTTTAAATAATCTTTAAATTTTACTGAAGTCAACAGTATTTTGCTCACATGCAAAATGTGAGATTTCTTTATATCCTTTATTTGAATTGCAGTTTTTCCTGAAGTTCTCCATGCTGATTCAGGCTCTAGTCTACATAGAGAGTAAGGACAGCTTCTGCACCCAAAAGTTTGGATGCTGTGGACAAGATACTGAATTGAACCAGGCCAGCATGCTGCTACTCTGTGCCCGTGGCTTAGAAGCCGTGTCATTCACGCTTTGACCCCGAGTCTAAAGATTACAGAAGTATTTACTTACAGAGTTCTCTCAAGCCTCAACTTTGACAGGATCTAATTGAAATAACAAAGCGGTTGGTTGTAGAGAGTGGGTGGGATCAACTTGTTCTCCTTTCCTCCTTCTGCCATCTTCTTTGCGTTCAGTTTTGTTGCAGAAGTTAAGCCCCAATGAGGACATAAAGTGCTGTGCCAAGCGCCAGCGGCCAAGCTGCGTGCCCGCCTCCCCTCTCACTCTAGCACACACACATGGCATCACAGGCAACTTATGCCTCTGGCAACTCAATAATTCAAAACCGAGGAAAGGTAAGGGTATGCATTGGTACCAGGTATGAAGCCCAGCTGCTGGAGATGAGAGCAGGACAAATGCGGCATGGGCGGTCCAGAGTGCTCTCAAGCATGGATCAGAATGGGCTGTTTCTTCTCTAGCAGTCTTGTTGGTCTTTGCTTCTGTTTCCTTGACCTGCCTATAAGCTACACTTCAGTTTTGAAAGGAAGAAAAAAGGGTTTTGTAAAATTTAAAACAAAAACCATTTAGAATCTTTCAATATAGTAAGGAAATTAGCATCCAACCACAGATGCTCAAAGAACCTCTTGCCTTCGTTATCACGAGTGACTCTGCATATTTGACAGTGTCTTGTCAACTGTGAAGGTAATAATAGATGTATGTACAGAAGTGGGACCTGATTTGCCCCCACTATCTCCTATTAATATACCAATATTGTGCAATAGGGAGAGAATTTTGGTTTTATTCTGGTATTAAAAAACCTCAATAGGTTATATAATGATTGTTCATGTCTACTGTCAGGTTTGAATACAATTTTAAACTTGTTTGTAAATAACGGCTTCTGTAAACCTTGCTCTAGTAAAGGAAGGAGGGGCAGAGGGATCGCCCTCTACATCAAGAAATTCATGGATTGTGAAGAGTCGTCTCTGAAGAATAGCCACAAACAGGTTGAAAGCTTATGCGTAAGAATTAGAGACCAAGGCAACAAAGGGAACCTCGTGGTTGTTGTCTACTACAGGCCAAAGAAGGGGAGTCTATTGGCAAAGCCTTCTTTCTCCAGCTACAGGAGGCATCACGCTCACAGGCTCTCGTCCTGCTGGGGAACTTCAGCCACCCCAACATCTGCTGGGAAAGCAGCACGGCGAGCTGTAGGCAATCCAGGAGTGCATAGAGGATAACTTCTTAGGCCAGGCAATAGACACCCTACCAGAGGGGATGTGATACTGGACCTGATGGTCACCAACACAAGTGAGCTTATCGGT